GAGCGGCTGCACCAGTTTGCATTCCCACCAACAGTGCAAGAGGGTTCCCGTTTCTCCACATCCTCTCCAGCATCTATAGTCTCCTGATTTGTTCATTTTAGCTACTCTGACTGGCGTGAGGTGATATCTGAGTGTGGTTTTGATTTGTATTTCCCTAATGAGGAGCGACGTTGAGCATCTTTTCATGTGCCTGTTGGCCATCTGGATGTCTTCTTTAGAGAAGTGTCTATTCATGTTTTCTGCCCATTTCTTCACTGGATTATTTGTTTTTCGGGTGTGGAGTTTGGTGAGTTCTTTATAGATTTTGGGTACCAGCCCTTTGTCTGATATGTCATTTGCAAACATCTTTTCCCATTCCGTTGGTTGCCTTTTAGTTTTGTTGGTTGCTTCCTTTGCTGTGCAGAAGCTTTTTATCTTCATAAGGTCCCAGTAGTTCATTTTTGCTTTTAATTCCCTTGCCTTTGGGGATGTGTCAAGTAAGAAATTGCTGCGGCTGAGGTCAGAGAGGTTGTTTCCCGTTTTCTCCTCTAGGGTTTTGATGGTTTCCTGTCTCACATTCAGGTCCTTTATCCATTTTGAGTTTGTTTTTGTGAATGGTGTAAGAAAGTGGTCTAGTTTCATCCTTCTGCATGTTGTGTCCAGTTCTCCCAGCACCATTTGTTAAAGAGACTGTCTTTTATCCATTGGATATTCTTTCCCGCTTTGTCAAAGATTAGTTGGCCATACTTTTGTGGGTCTAGTTCTGGGGTTTCTATTCTACTCCATTGGTCTATGTGTCTGTTTTTGTGCCATATATTTCCTTTGTATTAGGAGGATGTCCTTTGTTCTCAAAAACCTAAAGGAACTGATATATCTGCTGAGGGAGACAGACAGTACAACTTGTGAAACTACTCTGGTCAAAGACTTTAAGACACAAAGGAAGGCATGCTTGATTCTCTCCAAGAGGGTAGTGAAGACTTCATGCGAGGTGCATCCTGGGGAGAAATAACATTTAACTAGGTGGGAAAATGGAGAAAGTGATTTCTGGAGATAGAGATGATCACATACTAAAGAGCTTAGGGGCATCCATGATCTGAGAATCCTGAATAAGATCAGGATACCTGGATCTTGAGTTATTGTGGAAGAAGATCTTACAGAGAAGAAAGGTATGAGGAGGATAGGTGGGAGATGTCTGGAATCATAGATGCTGCACAGAGAAAAATCCACAAATCATCCCAACAATAATCCATCTATCCATCTATCCATCCATCCATCCATTTTTGCATTTCCTAACATATATTTTCTCTCCTTACACCCCAACACAGCACAAAAGAGGTAGTTATTATTAGTTTTTAGTGGGGTGCAGAATAAGAAAATACTCTGGGACAGACCCAACGTTGTGTACAAGCTGCTTGCTCATAAGGCGTACATTCCGAGGGATTTCATGGTGCCTGAAGTATCAATGGCAGATAAGGATGACTTTTTTTCCCCCCATTTTTCACATTGGAGCAGGTTTCCTTTAGATTAACAGTTTTTAAATGAATTTTTGTAAAATTTTGATATAATAGGGGCACCTGGGTGGCTCAGTTGGTTAGGCAACCGACTTCGGCTCAGGTCATGATCTCACAGTTTGTGGGTTCGAGGCCCACGTCGGGGTCTGTGCTGACAGCTCAGAGCCTGGAGCCTGCTTCAGGTTCTGTGTCTCCCCCTCTCTCTACCCCTCCCCTGCTCACACTCTGTGTCTGTCTCTCAATAATAAATAAACATAAAAAAAATTAAAAAAAATTTTTTTGATATAACTATATATTATGTGTATAAATTCATACAGTTATTGGAAATAATATAGAGGAATCCCAGGTATTCTTTTTCTAGTTTCTCCCAAAGGTAACAGATTATAAACACTATGGTGGAGTGTCACGGCCAGGATATTGGTCCTGATACAATGCACATCTTATTCCAATTAAGGATGCTATTTGGAGCCTTTGGCAGCCTTTATAGGTAGGTCACAGTGTAGGCCTTTAGGATTTGGAGCAGGACCCTGCTCTCACCTACAGATAACTGCCCTCCTTTTGAAAAACAAATCTTGGCCTGTGCTGGGCCTTAATGGGGGGCTTGAATCACCATGTGACCTGAACTGCCCATTATCAGTTTGGTGTTTTCTGACCCAACAAGCCATAAAGTTGGGCACACGCAGCAGCTTTCCATCATCAAATGGAAGTGGGACGTGCATGATCTGGCCTGATCAGGCCCTGAAGGCACAAAGAAGTTATGCGAAGAAGTTGCCTGAAAGCCCACGGTCCCCACTCCTGCCACACTGCCTTCTCTCTCCCAGCCTGCACTGAACGTCTCATGGAAAGTTCCCTACTGTCAGTGGACAGAGGAAGAGAAGACGTGGGCCTGGTTTTCAGACGGTTATGTAAGATATGCAGGTGCCCCCTGAAAGTCACAGCTTCAGCATCACAGCCCTTCTCTGGAATATTCCTGAAGGACAATGGGTAAAGGAAATTTTCTTAGTGGGCAGAACTTGAGGCACTATACCAGGCTGTACACTTTGCCTGGAAGGAGAAATGGACAGATATGCAATTATATACCAATTTTTGGGCTGTGGCCAATGGTTTGGCTGGATGGCCAGGGATTGGAAAATCCAATTGGAAACTCGGTGACAAAGAGATTTGGGGGAGAGGTATGTGGAGAGAATTCTCTGAAAACACAAGGGTATTTGGGTGTCATGTGAATGCTCACCAAAGGGTGACCTCAGAACAAGAGGATTTTATTTTTATTTTATTATTTTTAATATCATTTACTGTCAAATTGGCTAACATACAGTGTGTGTAAAGTGTGCTCTTGGGCCAAAGCATAAGAGACTCTTAAAAACTGAGAACAAACTGAGGGTTGATGGGGGGTGGGAGGGAGGGGGGGGTGGGTGATGGGTATTGAGGAGGGCACCTTTTGGGATGAGCACTGGGTGTTGTATGGAAACCAATTTGACAATAAATTTCATATATTGAAAAAAAAAGTGTGCTCTTGGTTTTTGGGGTAGACTCCCGTGGTTTGTTGCTTACACACAACACCCAGTGCTCATCCCAAAGGACAGGAGGATTTTAATCAAATGGCTGGGATGACCCATTCTGTGAATATCAGTCAGCCTGTCTCCCCAGGCACCTCGCATTGCCCAGCGGGCTCATGAACAAAGCAGCTATGGTGGCAGGAATGGATGTTATGCACTGGTCATTCCCCAAGGCTGACCTGGCTGTGCCCACTGCTGAGTGCCCAATCTGCCAGCAGCAGAGCCGTGACATGGCTCCCTTCCTCAGGGTGATGAGCCAGCTGGCATGTGGATCCCACTGGAACACTTCCATCATGGAAAGGTGCAGCATTCTCGTTTTTGAAATAGATACTTACACCGTGGATATCGATCTGCCTTCTTTGCATGGAGTGCTTTTGCCAAAACTGCCGTCCATGGCCTTGTATACTTCCTTATCCGCTCTCACTGTGTTCCATGCGCTGTTGCTTCTGATCAAGGAACTCACTTCACAGGAGACAAAATGTGGCAATGGGCCCACGCTCCTGGAATCCACTGGTCTTACCATGTTCTCCATTCCGAAGCAGCCGGCTTGGCAGGATGGTAGAATGGCCTTTTAAAAACTGAGTTACAGTGCCAGCTAGGTGGCAATCCCTTGTGGGGCTGGGGCGAGGTCCTCCCGAAGGCTGTGTATGCTGTGATCCCACTCCTCTCCCTGGGCTTAAACCCTGGACCCTCTCCTCTTAGCTCCTGGATGGAGTTCTCTTACCAGTGGTGCCTCACATGGAGCCACCATGCTGCTCCCACCAAATGGGAGTAATGCCCCTGACAGGTGCGCCTACCCCTCTCCTCCCCCAAGGAATCTGTGCTGAGTCAGGCTGGCTTTTCTAAAACTCTTTAGCATCGGGGTGTTTGGGTGGCTCTGCCGGTTAAGCATCCGACTCTTGGTTTCTCCTCAGGTCAGGATCTCACAGTTTGTGAGATACAGTCCCGAGTCGGGGTCCTCCTCCCTGACAGTGTGCAGCCTGCTTGGGATTCTCTCTCCCTCTCTCTCTGCCCCTCCCCTGCTCTCTCTCTCTCTCTCTCTCTCAAAATAAATAAACTTAAAAACAAGCAAAACACAGATGTTAATACAGCACATGCAATTAACAAAAGCAAAAACAAACAAACAAAAAAACAACAAAAAACCCAACCCTCTAGCATCAAGAGGTCTTAAGACTTAGCTTCCCACCCTGCACTCCCAGCCTTGTCCTCTCGCTTCCATCTTCTGGAAGTACTTCTTTTTCTGTTTTTAACGGTTAGTTAATTATTCTTGAGAGAGAAAGAGAGAGAGAGAGAGAGAACACGAGCCCGAGAGCAGGGGAGGGGCAGAGAGTGTGCGAGACAGAGAACCCCAAGCCAGCTCCAGACACTTCCACACTGAAGCAGGAAACTGACCGCGCAGAGCTCGGGTTGGGGCTGGGGTGGGGGTGGGGGGTGGGGGTGGAGGGGCGGGTGCGAGAACTCAGGAATCGTGAGATCATGACCTGAGCCAGAAATCATGACAGAGATCAGGACCTGAGCTACCCAGGCGCCCTGGCTGGCAGTACTTTTCGACCAAGTTCCCTTTTCTCCATCTTCTTTTTTTTTCTCCATCTTCTTCTTTTTAAAAAAAATTTTTTTAATGTTTTATTTATTTTTGAGACAGAGAGACAGAGCATGAGCAGGGGAGGGGCAGAGAGAGGGGAGGGGCAGAGAGAGGGGAGGGGCAGAGAGAGAGGGAGACACAGAATCCTAAGCAGGCTCCAGCCTCTGAGCTGTCTGCACAGAGCCCCGCGTCGGGCTCGAACTCCCTGAGCCAAAGTCGGACGCTCAACCGACTGAGCCACCCAGGCGCCCCCCCCTTTTCTCCGTCTTCTGGTCCAGAGACGCCAAGGCAGAAGAGGCTTAGGAAGGCAGCTAAGCAGGTGACTGGCTCCGCCCACCGGAACCTCTACTCCTCCCACACCCATATTAGGTCAAGCTGCACTTGTCCCACCCTCAGAGCACGTAGGAAGTCGGGACTTCTTAAACGCCGGTTCCCTCCAGCTCGGAGCTGGTAGATGACTCCCGTCCGCCCTGCTGTGCTCTTCACGCCGCCCTGTCGCTGCCGACCATGGCTCGGCCTGGGGACACCACCCTCCGTCTTTGTCTCCTGCTCCGGTTTCTGCTAACAGATTCAGCGCCTCGCGGCTGTGAGTTCAGAGGTAGAACCTGGGCGGGGGGCAGTGCGGCGGTCGGGAGGAGCATTAAGACTTGGAAGGAGTTGCGGTGTGCCCCGAGGGGTTCTGGAGCCTTCTCGCCGGGTGGCGTTCCGTCCTCCTCCTCAATTATTCCCCGGCCGGCTTGTTCCGCGTCCGCGGCGTCTGCGGGTCGCGGGTTCCCGGGACCCGGAGAGGTAACTGTAAATGGGCAGTTTCCTCCGAAAGCGCTGCTGCGGCCGGGTGGACCCGGTGGTGGCGGGGCAGCAGAGCCGGAGCAGGGGGAGGGAAAGACGGCCTCCTCGCGGAGCCTAAGGCTGAGTCTCAGCCCCTGAGCCCCGGGCTTTGGGCAGGACAGAGGGCGATCCCTCAGCGAAGGAACTGCCAGATAAACCTGCCCCGCGACGCGGCTCACACAACTCTGCCCGCCCGAGTCTCCCTTCCCGTTACCGGGGCCCTTGGGCTTCTCAGTTCCCCGCCCCCCCCCCCCCCCCCCCCCCCCCCGCGTCCGGCTCCGGAAGCTCTTCCACGAGCCACGTCCCAGCACCTCCCAGCTCAGAGTGGGCAGGTCTGATATCCTATGGACAGAGCCCTCCTGGCTATCAGACCCCTGGACCTCACCGGCAGCCTCTTACTCCGTGTGACTTTCCCTGCTGCAAGTGGCATTCCCTGGCTCCAACACAGTAAAGGTCTCTTCCCGATATTCCAATGGGGATGTCACAAAGTGCACAGAGCACCTTTTCCTAACACAATACCTCTATGTCACAGCTTCTACAGGGTCCTATGACCGAGGAAGCAGGTTCAGCCACACTCATTCATCCAGGGATTGTTATGGCCGCTTCCCTGCTACAAGAGCACTGTCTGTTACTTACAGCAGAGACCTGGGAAATATTTAATAGATGCAGAAAATCTTTGCACCGGGCTGGCATTTAAGTGAAAATACAAGAGGGCTCCTTCATACCCTTGCATTCAGAGAGGTTTTGATGTTGGTACTCATTTCTCTCACCGCATCCAGGATAAGTACTTTTTAAACATTCTATTTGGAGAGAAGAGAAGGCCGTGTAAGAGTACTGTACTTGAATTTCCTTGCAACCTAGCCCCCTACCCACAAGTAATTCAACTGCAAAGATTTTTCACTCCTGGGACAAAGGTGGGGGATGTGAAAGAACCACATGGTGATGTGGGTACCTGAGCCAAATGATGTCGCTGTGAACAGGGGCTGGGAGAGGTGTCTTTTCATTATCTGGGGCACCCCCTGCCCTGCACCAGCTCCATAACAGGGGCCCCTGAGGACGCTTTCGATCCCTGTGGATGGTGTCAACTCACGCAGTAGGTTTACGCAGTGAAAACGTCCGGGTGGTCTCTGCTCCCCAGAGTACGCTCACCCCTGTAAATGACCACATGGCTCTTTGGGGAAGGCCAGCAGGAAGCATTGCTCTTGCTGTTGACCTGAAGGGTCCCTCCTGATTGGAACCTGGCTTCTGCTTCTAGTAAAGAGTTGCAGTTCTGAGAGGCGGCTCCGTTCTGGAACCTGGGCAGAGGATCCAGACTCTGTGTGGGGTCACTGCTTTCAGCTTCCTCCTCATCCATCCTGGGGATCGGTCTTTGTTTTTATTGTTTAACTCCAGCAGTCTTTGGGTTGGCTGTCCAACTACTTTGCCTTTACAGTCATGTGTTCTGTGAGCCAGAGGGATGGACAGCTTTCTGTGGGTCAGGCCCCTGGCTGCTTTCCAGCGTCTAGGATCATTCTAGGATCATTTCAATCGTTGCCGCCTCCCTGCTTCGGACAGTTGGGCGCCTATACCTCAAATCTATTATATCAGGACTTCCCACCGCCAATACCACTGGGAGCCTATTTCTGCAACACCGTCCCATTACCACCAAGCTTCTGCCTTCAAAGATAGCCATCACTAAGCTTCTTTCGTTTTAATTTCTTGAGAGAGAGAGAGAGAGAGAGAGAGAGAGATAGAGACACAGCGCAAATGGGGGAGGGGCAGAGAGAGAAGAGAGACAGAGAAGGAGAGAGAAGGAATCCTATGCAGGCTCTGCACTGTCAGTGCAAAGCCCGATGCAGGGCTCGAGCCACAAACTGGGAGATCATGACCTGAGCCAAAGTTGCACACTTAACTGACTGAGCCACCCAGGCGCCCTGCCATTACTAAGCTTCTTCAGGATTTCGGTGCCTTCTCACCATGCATTGTTTTTTGGTTTCTGTTTTTCGAATTTTATTAAAATCCAAGCTAACATATGGCGTAATAATGGTTTCAGGAGTAGAATTTAGGGATTCATCAATTACATGTAACACCATGCTTGTCCCAACAGGTGCCCTCCTTAATGCCCCCCACCCATTCAGCCCCTCCCCCCACCCATTACCCCTCCAGCAACCCTCAGTTTCTTCTCTGTATTTCAGTCTCTTACGGTTCGCCTCCCTCTCTGTTTGTATCTTATTTTTCGTTCCCTTCCCCTACGTTCATCTGCTGTGTTTCTTAACTTTCCACATATGCGTGAAATCATATGATATTTCTTTCCCTGACTGACTTATTTTGCTTAGCATGATATACTCTAGTTCCATCCACAGGCTGCAAATGGCAAGACTTCATTCCTCTTGATCACCAAGTAATATTCCATTGTGTATTTATACTAGATCTTCTTTATCCGTTTGTCACTCGATGGACGTTTGGGCCCATTCCATAATTTGGCTATTGTGGATAGTGCTGCTAAAACACTGGGGTGCATGTGCCCCTTAAAATCAGCATTTTGGTATCCTTTGGAGCGGTACCTCGTAGTGCAACTAAGGGGTCATAGGCTAGTTATACTTTTAATTTTTTGAGGAACTTCCATATTGTTTTCCCTAGTGGCTGCACCAGTTTGCAGTCCCAGCAGCAGTGAAAAAGGCTTTCCCTTCCTCCACCTCCTTGCCAATAGCTGATGTTTCCCGAGTTGATGATTTTCGCCATTCTGACTGGTGCGAGGTGGTATCTCATTGTGGTTTTGACTTGTACTTCCCTGATGACGTGTGATGTTGAGCATCTTTTCATGTGCCTGTTGGCCATCTGGATGACTTCTTTGGAAAAGTGTCTGTTCGTGTCTTTTACCTCTTTCTTCACTGGATTATTTGTTTTTTGGGTGTTGAGTTTGATAAGTTCTTGATAGATTTTGGATAGTAACCCTTTCTCGGATATCTCATTTGCAAATATCTTCTCGCGTTCCGTCCATGGACTTTTAGTTTTGTTGAATGTGCGGAAGGAAACAGACCTCGTCTTGATTAGGTCCCAACAGTTCATGTTTGCTTTTGTGTTCCTTGCCTCCAGAGACATGTCAGGTAAGAAGTTTTTGCAGCCGAGGTCAAAGAGATTGTAGCCTGTTTTCTCCTCTAGGATTTGGATGGTTTCCTGTCCCACATTTAGGTGTTGGTTTTTTTTTTTAATTTTTTATCCATTTTGAGTTTATTTTGTGTATGATGTAAGAAAGTGGTCCAGGTTCGTTCTTCTGCATGGGCTGTCCAGTTTTCCTAACACCATTTGCTGAAGAGACTTAATTCCCACTGGATAGTCTTCCCTGCTTTGTCAAAGATTAGTTGGCCCTATGTTTGTGGGTCTCTTTCTGGGTTTTCTGTTCCGTTCCTTTGATCTATGTGTCTGTTTTTGTGCCCGTACCATACTGTCTTGACGATTACAGCTTTGTAATACAGCTTAGAGTCTGGAATTGTGATGCCTCCAGCTTTGGTGTTCCCTTTCAACAGTGCTTTGGATATTCGGGTCATTTCTGGTTCCCTGCAAATTTTGGAATTGTTTGTTCTAGCTCTGTGAAGAATGCTGGTGTCCGTTTGATAGGGATTGCATTGAATATGCAGATGGCTTTGGGTAGCGTTGACATTATAACAATATTTCCTCTTTCAATCCACGAGCATGGGATGTTTTTCTACTTCTTTGTCCTCTTGAATTTCTTTCCGAGATTTCTGTACTTCGCAGCATATAGATCTTTCACCTCTTTGGTGAATTCATTCCTAGGTATTTTATGGTTTTCAGTACCATGGGGTTGATTCCTTGATTGCTCTTTCTGCTGCTTCATTATTGGTGTAGACAAATGCCACAGATTTCTGTACATTGACTTATATCCTGCAACTTTGCTGAATTCATGTATCAGTCGTAGCAGGTTTTTGGTGGAGTCTTTTGGGTTTTCCACATAGAGTACTATGTCATCTAGGAAGCATGAAAGTTTCCTTCTTCCTTGCTGATTTGAATGCCTTTTATTTCTTTTTGTTGTCTGATTGTTGAGGCTAGGACTTCCAACGCTATGTTGAACAACGGTGGTGACAGCGGGCATCCCTGTCATGTTCCTGACCTTAGGGGAAAGTTCTGTTTTTCCCCCTTGAGGATGATATCAGCGGTGGGTGTTTCCTACCTGGCCTTTGTGATCTTGGGGTATGTTCCTTCTATCCGTCCTTTCTTGTGGGTTTTCATCAAGAAGGATACTGTATCTTGTCAAATGCTTTTTCTGTATCTATCGAGAGGATCGTGTTCTTGTTCTTTCTTTTATTAATGTGAGGCGTCATGTTGATTGATTTGTGGCTATTGAAGCAGCCTTGCATCCCAGCAATAAATTCCACTTGATCGTGGTGAGTACTTCTTTTAATGGATTGTTGGCATGGGTTGGCTAGTAACTTGTTGAGAATTTTTGCATCCATGTTCATCGGGGAAATGGCTCTGTAGTTCTCCTTCTCAGTGGGACCATGCATTTTTTATGCGTTTCATTGAGAGTCCTCCAGACCGCTCCGTGAGCATAGTTGATGGGCATATTTTTGGTTTTGTTTTGGCATTTCTTACTACATTTGTTCTGTCATATGCACTTCTCCAGGCCTTTTTAATCCCTTACCACGATCTGTCATGGAATTCCTGATATTCTAGTCTGTGCCGTGTGGATCATCCTTTTTTCCAAGCCTCCAAGGCCCATCCTAATGGTAGATGATCACCATGACCAGGCCTGTGCTAAATGCTGGGACCCAGGATTGCAAATCTCTCTTCTCTGACTTTGGATTCTATCCTCACCCTGCCCCGCCCTGACTCAGCTCCTCAGGAGTAGGCCCCCTCACGGTCTCTCATCTTATTAAAAACATTTTTTTAATGTTTGTTTTCATTTAATAATTTAATTTTACAATAATTTTATTTAATAATAATTTTCTTTAATAATTTAATGTTTAATGTTTGTTTATTTTTGAGAGAGAGAGAGAGAGAGAGAGAGAGAGAGAGCATGAGTGGAGGAGGGGCAGAGAGAGGGAGACACAGAATCCGAAGCAGGCTCCAGGCTCTGGGCTGTCGGCACAGAGCCCGACGCGGGGCTCGAACTCACGAGCCGTGAGATCATGACCTGAGCTGAAGTCGGACGCTCCGCTGACTGAGCCACCCCGGCGCCCCTCATCTTCTTCGAGACACTGGGATAGATCCTGACCATCAGCCGGCATGTAGACCTCTTCTTCCCATGGCCAGCGTAGCACGTGCCTGAATTGATTAAAGACTGAGTGACGCTGGATATCAGCCTGGTAGACACAGGGGACATGTCCCTGGCTGTATGGTTTCTGGTCAGGCAGAGGAATCCCGATCCTTGGTCCTTTTCCAAGAAGGGAAGTGCGCCAGCCTTCAATTGTTAGGGGGGGAGGGGCTGTGCAGGGGCCGCCTTTGCTCTGCTAGGCCAGCCCTGCAGAGATACAATGACTGTCACATGGGTGGGAGAGGGACGCCTCTGGGTCTGTTCTTCCAACCCCAACCCTAACTTACGTTTTCATTTGCAGATGCTCTTTCTCCTGCCTTTGAATTCCCCATCACACCAAAGCCCAATCCTGGACAACCATGGTGTGAGATTCAAGGCAAGGTCAATGGAAACACGTTTCTGTATTACGCCTGTGGGAACCAGAAGGTCGAAGTCTTTGGTCCTCTGGGGAGGAATGTGAATGACATAGTGTTTTGGGAGAGACAGACCGAAACTCTGAAAGACCTGGCAGAAGAGCTCAAGAAGAAACTACTTGACTGGAAAGCAGCGGATTTTATACCCAGTGGTAAGTCGGAAAGGCCCAGGGCAGAAGTAGAACAGTTTGTAGGGCCAGGGACCTGTTGTGTTCATGTACAACTTAGACATGGGTCCCACACACGTGGCCCAGCAGCCAGGGCAGTCAAGAGGGACTGAACAGGACCAAGAAGGGTGAAGGGGGGCCGAGGAGTGGACGGCGGGTGGGACAAGGGATCGGTCAAGACCAGAGGCTGACCTCATGCCCATGGTGGGGGTGGGGGGCAGATTCTCTCTCCCTGCAGGGCAGGCTGGTGTGTGTGCGTGGGGACAACGGACGCACCAGCGGATCCTGGGAGTTTGACATCAATGAACAGATATCCTACTTCTTTAACTCAGAGAGTGGAAATTGGACACTTCGTCCTAGAGGCCTACAGATAAAGGCCTCATGGGAGAGTGACAGAGATTTGACCAATTCCCTCATGAAGATCTCAGTTGGAGATTGTAACAAGTGGCTTGAGCGAATATTGATGCACTGGGATGAACTAGGGGAGACAACAGGTAACTCAGAAGACTGGATGAAGTTGTTCTCTTGAAATCGGGCCTACCTTCTCCACTGTAGTGTGCGTGTGTGTGTGTGTGTGTGTGTGAGAGAGAGAGAGAGAGAGAGAGACAGAAACAGAGCCAGAGGTGATCCATCCATGGTGAACTTCTTTTGGGGAGAGTAATGGCCACAGATATGTTCTCGCATCCTTCCTTTCACTTCTCATCTCCTGAAATCTCTTCCTTGCTACATGTCCTTTAGTTTCTGGGATTTCTTGGATTCCCTCTTGGCCCCAAACATGAGGGTGTCAGTCTGATTCCAGAGATTCCTTCTCGCTCTTCCCTTTTCTGAGAATCATTGATCTTCTCATCTCCTCTTGTCTCTGGCCGGGGATCATTCCTGGCCACGTGCACTGTTAGCTCCAGAGAGGGGGTCAACTGTCACCACCCTCGTGCTCCGTGACCACCTCTTCTGCCACAGCAGGAGTGACCAGTTATGTTGGAACCCGTGCTTCCCCCTTTAGCTGTGCGAGGTCCTTCGGGACAGGTCCCGAGTCTTTCCTCGGTTCCCACCCCAGGACCTGTCACAGCAGCTGCCACAATGTAGAGTGACAGAAAGCATCTGCAGTGTGGGATCATCTGCGGCAGGAGGAGCGGAGGGGGTATCTCTTCCGATTTAAGTCTGAAACAGGATTTGGGGTCTGAAACCCTCTTGTGTTTCCATTTCAGCCCCGCCAGGCTCGCAGCAAGTCACGGCCCAGTCCGGGGCCACGGCCCTCAGACCCATCACCTGGATCCTCCCTGTGATTCTCAGCTGCTTAATCATAATTGGCATCCAGGTAGAGTCTTTTAGAGTGACAGGTACTGAGAGGAGATGGAGCGGGAAGAGAGGGGCAAATGGCCTGGTGTGAGGACAGGGACAGGTGACTCCCCCGCCCGACCCTGCCCACTCACTGAACCTTGTCATCACAGAAGTGAGACGAGGTGATGAGTTCCCCTGTCACTTGTTAGCAGTAACGTGGACAAGCTCAGCCCTGAGTTGTCATAAGGCCTCACTGTTAAGGCCGCTGGGAAAGGGGAGGGGCCCCCCAATGCATAAGGCCTGTTGACGCTAAGGAGATGTAGCAAGGTCAGGCCTGACTCAGACCTGATTCCAGATTGAAGAGAGTCATTTTGGCCCAGTGCGGGTGGTGTGCGGGGAGAGGGACGCACAGCTTGGGCAGTAATCACACTGGAGCACATGAGGCGTGGTGGCTCCACGTGATGTCTCAGGGGAGTTGACTCCATCCAGGGGCCTACGAGGAGAGGCACCAGTGTCTGTTCCGGGGGAGGGAGTGGGAAGGTCGGGCAGAGGCAACTCGAAAGCCTGGAGTTGCGTGCTGTGTTCCCCCAGACAGTGGCTTGGGTC